ATACGGGGTAACAGACTAAAATCTCCAATTTAGTCTTAATGTTTAAGAACTAAAGCGAGCCTCAGTATTCAGGGGAAGGGAAGTGCGAGCTCTGGAGTGAGAGTTAGTGTCCTCCCAGCCTAACTACAGATTTAGGAATTAAACCTGAGATTAGCCAAAAATTTTTTATAACACTGAATCATACTAGAGAATTAAAATTGTTCGTATTTGGTACAATACATATTTAAATCATTTATCTCATCTCAATTTACCAAAAACTCATTGTAGTGGGAAAGATGCTTTTCATATTAGATAACTTCATCACTTAAATATAGTTTGGTAGTTACTGTTTAAACTTTGCATTTCAGCTTTGCTAGCAGTTAATAATTTAGTTCTGATAATACATCAAACATTTGAAATTAGTGATAGTATTTTTATTTTACTACTGTGAATTTTCTAGTTAATTTATCATTTCAAATTTAAACATTCCTCGTGGGACTGATATTTGGGGCTTAAACAGAAAGTTTTGTATTACTTGATAACGATACGTATATTTGCGTAGAATGCCAATATAAATTGCTTAAATTTTTTATGCATATAATAACGCATCAAGTTTTTGGCACCGTTGAAAAGCGGAGTCAACTTTATATATTTTGGACAGCTATATCATCAAAATCAAGTCAACTTTATATATTTTGGACAACTATATCATCGAAATCACTGTCACCACACCTAGATAGGTACGGTATGAAACTACTGTTTTCAGCGTTTTGAAAACGCATAAGATGCCAAAACGCAGTTTACCCAAACAGGTCGGGTGCGTTTTCAAAACGTCATCGCCCCACATAAGCTGCCCCAAACGGGTCACTCATCCACCTAATCATTCTCATCTCGGCAACACTTAATTTAGTATTACGCTTCTCTTTTAAAGGCCAACATTCAGCGCTAAAGATCATTACAAATCTCACCACCCTCTTATAACATCTTCCTTTCAGTCTAAGCGATACTTTTCTATCACACAAAAGGCATGAAGCATTCCTCCACTTAGCCTAATCTTAAACAATAAAACAAGTTTAAATAAAATTTATTAACAAAATAAAAAAAATTTGTTGCACCAGTGTATGCATTCACAATCTCTTTGGCATTGGATGACCAAAAAACTAAAAAAAACTATATAATCCAGCTTAGCCTAACCTTGAGAATAACAACAGCATTCAGTAAAACTAATAACGCCAGAATAATCAAAAAGGAAAAATCCATCCAAAAGCGTATAATATGAAATATATTAATCATCCCTATGCCTTACACAACTTCAACTAAATGACCTATATGACCTCCATAAACCAAAAACATATCCTTCTTTCTTGCTATCACACACTGAAAAATATATGATGCATAAAGATACTAGAGTTAGAACTGGATGTAACTGTTAACAGATCCAACACAATAGCTTCCACAAGGTGCTAAGTGATTCAAGAGAGCTAAGCCTCACCAAGATGGATACCGGAACAAATTTACTAGGTAAAAATATTCTGATTCTTTGTTTATAAGTAATCTTGTGTAAGGTTTGCTAGAAATTGTGTCAATAAAAAGACATCTAATTTTTTAGGAAACTCAAAGGTCCGCTTTAAATTATTTGTAGTTCCAAGAGTCCTAAATGATCACAAGAGGTCCCTATCCAACACCAAATCATATTTCTATTCATAGTCTTACATCAATATCCTTGCCAGAAAGTATATCTTAGGTTTCAATACAAGCTTCTTATGTGTGCTCCTTTCCAAATGCAGTGCTCATCGTGAATGGATGAAAGAAGAAAGATACACATCTACAAACAAGAGAAGTTTGTCATTTATTTAAGCATGCTATGTTTTATATATACATCATGCAATTTTATCTTCAGAAAATAATAAAAAAGTTTTGGTAGTAATAATAAATCTGATTCACATAGCATAAATGTTAATATTTTAACATAGATAACAAAAATACAGATTGTGATGACAATGATTATCCGTGCCTATTTTATTTAGGATTTTTCACATATCAATATGGAAAACATACTTATTTGTTCAACAAACATTATGTTTCCCTAAAGCAGTGAATGAGCTGAATGAGTGATTGAGGACTAGAATTTGTGGGAGAACACAGACAAGCCTGCTATTATTCCTGCATGAGGCAATGCAATTAATTTGGTCGTCATGGAAGTTTCAAATCAAGAATTGTTCTCTAAGGATTACCAGCACATATTGGAATCTTCACACCTTAAAAACATAATAATTAGGTTATCAACAGATAAAGAAATTAATCAGTATACCTTTTACGAAACCTTCTTCGTGATAATATATCAACAATTAATTAGCACAAACTGGTTATCTACTTCAGCAAGACTTTAAGCCAATTATTTACAGAAAAACATGAACCTGCACTGCAAAATATCCACCAATTGCAGAACATTTTCCTTCACATAAAAAATTAAACAAGCAGAAGAATGATCTATCACAGAAGATAATAAATGGTCTAAGTAAACCACATGAGCTAATCATTTGTTTGCAGGGTTATCTAAATCCACGGAACTGATGATTTTCATACAACGCATAAGACAATCCTAAGATCCCCAGACATATAATGAATATAAAACCATGCATAATCCACTTTGGTGTTTAAAATGCAACTGATGTGGGGACGTTTTAGGCCAAGGTTCCCAAAATCTGAAGTATCATGCAATTCCCCAATACGATGAATATGAAACTTCAGCAGCCAACATTAAAATTATTTACAACCTCCAATGAATAATAACAAAGAAAAAATATTTATTTCAAACAAAAGGATTTTGGACTTCTATTAAAAATTAATAAGAAAAAATTGAAAGCCATGCAGTTGAATGAAATTTAGCACAAAAAAATATATAATAATGGTAATAGATATGAAAAAATTCAACTAGCACTCAAACAATAACAATTAATAAGGAAAAGAAGAAGAAAGGGTGGCAAAAAGGGGAAGAATTCATAGATTAGCAACTCAGACTTTTGAACAAGCAAATTGTTTCCCTCAAAATACTTTAAATCTCACACTTCATCAAGACTTAAAATATTGGAGCCGGGATATTTATTGTCACATCCAAAAGTCAAATCTTATTGCCTTGGAAGCTTTTTACATACCTGATAACAAATTTAGGAACCATGCAATTAAGGTTAGCAAAATTGAAGGTTTCTGCTGCAATTTTAAGTTTCATTAGTTCTGAAAAAAAAGTCAACATCGATTACTTCAAATGGTGACAAGGGAATAGGAATGTGAGCCAATGAAGGCATTTTGAATGTACTGCAAGCCACAAGAATAGGAATCGCCCAAGAAAGTCAGATGCCATGGAATAGGATAGCTCCATAGTTCACTATAAATATCTCATTTAAAGGAATTAACAAATAGCTTCTTAAAACAACAACAACAATAAAATTTTGTTACAGCCAAAGACTGCTAAAATCACTTAATGATATAGCAAAAGGAATAGAATGCCCTAAAAGAAAGGTCAAATTCCATCCAGCATATCTGATTTTCCTGCTCATCATAGGCACATGTAGAGAAGTAAAGTCTATTGAGGGTTAAATTACAAACTCTGAATCTCTCATCTAATCAATTACAATTCAATTTTTAAGCTTTAAGAGAATTAATGAAATCCGGACATTTAGCTTTTTCAACAGCTATAGCCTTGAGATTCACCAGTACTTGGGGGAAAATATTCATAGTAACAATATTAATAATTCAAAGCGAACAATATCACAAGAAACTATGATCAATTTGTAAACTAGTAGTGAACTAGATGTCGCACCAATTACAATATATTTGATATTAACCAAGTAATATAAGAGAATCTACTATGTTATCAGATTAGGAATGTTTTTCAAGCAAACACTTTCTAACAAGGAAATATGATAGAATTTAAGCAGCTTCATATTAAAATAGATTCTTTCATGAGAAAAAGGCATGATGAATTTCTCTATAGAAATTACGATGTAACAAAATGAAACATAGAAAATTGAATCGCATGTGGCTCTTTGCATAATGATAGCATTGTAAAATATTTCTGCACGGAACCAATAGTTTTTGAAGTTCGTAAAATTAACTGAGATGAAACTTCTCCTAACATGAAACCAATGGTTTTTGAAATACATACAATTCACTAAGATGAAACTTCCCTATTGATTATTTTTTGGAATAAACCGCTCATAAAGTTACATCGTAAAAAGGCATCACATAAAGCATTTTTAAGGCAAATTAACGAGCACCAAAATGATGCCAATAAAAGAATTAACTTCAGATATTAAGAACCGATGTCATGTAAAAGCCCGTTGTTTCATGTCACAAAGTAACACACGCATCCTAAGCATGCTATATCATAATATGAAAAAAAAAAAGTATTAGATTCAGCAAAAAATTTTAAATGATCCATTGACTATTCATGGGGTTTATTTAGTATCATACAATATAAAATGTCCGATTGAGTTATCCAACTCTGGTGGTGTCCTGCCTCCAAGGACTTCGATTGCGCTATTATTCTTATTGCCTGTGTGGAGTAGGTGGCTCTAGTTGGATCCTTTGTTGAATGCTTTAGGTCCAGTCCCAAGGTAATATCCTAGCTGGATGGGCTTCCTACTTATATTTCTCTTTCTAACCATTACAAGATTTTAGCAAATAAACTTTATTTATTATATCATTTCATTGGCCTCGTCTTCAAATTTTCTCAAAAAAGCCAAAGAATATAAAAGCGAAATATTATCTTCTCCTGATAAGGGCAGAACATATTTTTTGTAAATGAGTTTCTTCAACATCAAAGCCCTAAGCAAATCTATAACCATAATTCCGCTTGTAAAATTAGAATTCCTTAATAAAGTTCTTAAATCCATCTAAAATTCGTTAATACTATGTATCTCCCATATCGTAATCATCTGTAAAAATACTAAGAAATGAAAACGACGCAAACAATCGTAAAAATGCGAAATAATCACAGGATCGAGTCAATGAGCAGCTACCCATAAGCGACGCCTCGAGGATGTGGAAGCTCATGAGGACCTGTTCGGTAGGAGTAAGTCCTCCAATATCGGTAGATCGATTCTTGATTCTGGCCATGCTGTAGACACTGGAGGAGAGCATGAGAAGCATAGTCCCCGCCACCGTCTTCAGCATCACCGGCCCGCGCCCGCGCTTCAAGCGGTCTAGCCCCATGACGGCAAGCTTTCGCAGCGGCGTCTTGAAGAGGAGGACAACCACAACCCCCACCTCCGCCATGAGCAGCGTGAACAAAACTCGGATCATCGTATACCTTCTTTAAGTTCGGACAACCAAAAATCAGAAGAAGCTAACGAATCGATCCAGCAAAAACTTTTCCAGGCGTACGAAGATTGTGATCGATCGATCGATATCGATTGTACACAAGGTTTGAAATTTTGAATCGTCTGAAAAAGATGGAACCCCGGTAGTGCGGAGCGTGGAAGGAGACGATTTTCTGTTTACGACCCTGCCGACAGGCTTAATTGCAATTTACAGCGCCACCAGCTAATTTGGTGAAATGATGATGATTCGTTTTGGTTGCCTTTTCTAAATTTTTGTTGCACGGCAGACCGTCTACGGCTAAAACGATGTAATATTTGATGACTTGGCCTGTACGTAATCATAAGCCTGGTTCATTGACCAGATGCAAATGATGAACCCAGCAAGGCTTCATTATTCTCATTTTTCTAATAACTTTTTATCAGGAAGGTTGTATACATACATACCATACAATTTTTAAATACTTACATATGCAACTTAAATTTTTATAATTATTTCTTTGACTGTAAAATTAAATCAAATAAAAGTATAGCTAACTTTTTTATAAATGAAATATACTTTTTTATTATATATATTATTTTGGAGGTAATTTAAAAATTAAGATATCATTTAACTAGATAAAAGATTTTTTAAATTTCATATATTCTAATATAATTTTTTTTGAATCTTGATATGTTCTTAACAAGTTTTATCATCGGACATGAATCTCGAAGTGTGACAAATCTTAAAATAAATTTCTTAGCAATGAATATTTAAGCTTCAGCTAAAATTTATTTAAAAATTGTATTTTAGCAAACTTATAGTCAAATTAACTGACTCGATGAGATGAACACAATGACAAAAATGTTGTTCTAGTCCGAGTAAAATCAAGCCAAGATCGAGCCATTAAGCTATTTTTAGAAGCTTCTGGTGTCTGATTGGAAAGTCAAATAAATTCAAAATCAGACAAACTTATAGTTGAATTAAGCACATCGACGCATGAATCCAACAAACCCAAGATCACTCAATTTCAACATTACTACCCCACTCAAATTCCGCAAAATATTGTTTGATCGAAGGATCTCTTTGGGTTGTCTGATTGAGTGGTCAAGATTCCTTCTTTGTTTGCAATGAAGCCTCTCTCAAACTTTATGAATAGAATTAACTCCTTCATGAAAGGAGACCAGGGTCTTGAAATGAAGAAAGAGCTGAAGCTAAAGCTAGATCTTGAGAAGGAGCTAAATTCCAATATTGTTCTGCATTGAAGATTTGATGAACGCTCTCCTTAGCCGCCAACCACCGTCGATCACTGCTCACCGGCCTTTGTCAACCACCATTGGCCTCCCCCTACTTATTGCAATGAAACCCTTTACAAAGTCAGCCTTGTATAGTAATGAAACATCCTATAGAGCAACATACCTAGAAAATGATGTGACAATGTACCCGAAGATGGTGTAAAGATACACCTCAAAGATGATTAAATAACATACCCCACATATGGTGTAATGACACACTCCAAAGATGGTGTAAGAACGCACTCATCATATGGTGTAAAGACATACTCCCAATACAATATCATGAATAATGTCGTTTCAAGGATATGATGAGAATTCCTTGCAATAACTACTTATAATTGTCTCACTTATAATATGATGACTTTCTCTTAGCTCATGAACTTCTATCACCGCAACTTTCCACTACAATCTATGTGATCCACAACTTACGCAGCTCCTAACTTCAGTCTCTACGACTTACGAATATTATCACAACTCATGTAGCTCCCAACTCCGGCCTCTGCTGCCAACAAACATTATCACATCTCATGCAACTCCTAACTTTGACCTTTTGTGGCTTACGGATGTTATCACAAATCATGCAGCTCCCAAGTTTGGTCTCTGCGGCCTATGAATGTTATCATCTCATGCAGCTCCTACCTCTGACCTCTGTGACACATATATTATCACAGTTCTTACAACCCCAACTCTAGTCTTCAAGGAGTACATACGTTATTACATATCCTCGCTATAACATATGTGGCCAACTAAGACTTTTGTGTCTTATAGCTCATGCAGCTCCCAATTCCAGTCTCTATGACATATAAACGTTATTGTGGCTCCCTACTACGACCTCTATGGTAAACTGATGCTATTGTAACAACCATTTATGTCCTACATGGCCAACTAATGCTATGAATTTCAACTACGGTCGCTACGACAGTTGGCGTTACTGCAATTGTCTATAACTTTCACAATGGACTACTGCCTTCATAGCAATTGACTACGGCCTTCACGATACTTTATAAATATTATTGCTAAAATATCCTTGTACATCAACTCTATAATTCCATTTTCTCTAACTTGATATGTAATTGCCATTATGTAGAGGATTATTTCAACTAGGCTGAGCATGGCTTTTACTCCGTTATAAGATTTTTCACGTAAAATTTTATGGTATCTCTATCTGCCACTTTAAAAACTTGAGTTTATGGTGGATTTTCATGAAATTCTAATATGTTAAATAATCACTCTACTATCATGAATAATCTGGTGCATTTTAGTTTAGTGTTATCTATGGGAAGCAAAGTCCAATTTAACACAATCTTCAAGTCAAATACATCAAGCTCTATTCATTTTTCAATGATATACATTATCCAATTAGCAAAAGAACCTCTTTTACATCCCTTGAAGATTCATTTCTCTCCATTATTTGATGTGCAGGGCAACCTTTACTGCATTCATAATGTAGTACACGTTAATGCTCCAAACATGATTGTGATGGGTTAGTCCTCCCACATCTTATTTAGGCACAAAGTTTATGAAAACTACTTCGAAACTCGGGGGACAACCTTCACTACATTCTTGAAAAGTTATTAATATTAACATCCCAAGTACGATTGTGGTAGGGTAGTCATCCAATATCTCAGCCAGACATCAATTCTTCATGAATCGCTTCTAGATTGGGTGCAACCCTCATTGCAAGGAGTGCTTCCTCAACAACTCCTCATCATACTAAAGTTCCTCTTCAACTATATCAAAATGCTAATCTCTTTAAGGTTTGATACATGATCTACTTTACGAGCTTTTGTGGACAACACCTCCATCCGGGGATAATAAATTCAAGAAAAAAAAATAAAGAAGTTTTCAGATTCATCATTGCATATGGTCGCAATCATATTTCCAGTTAAAAATAAGGTCCATTTTGACCTCTACTTCAGTCTCGAGAATTTTATTTTGGGCTAATTCATATCAGTGGACTTGATTTGACCTTTTTCACCAAAGGTTATGATCACTAAATAGAAGCTTCGACTAACTGTCTCAGATGTAAAAAATCTTTGGATAATTTCATCAACTTCGTCCATTATAGTGTAATGGTGTCGAGTGGATGCTTCAACCATACAAATTAGGATGGGTCGTATATCCTTAATAGATTCTCCGGTTAAATTTATTACAAGACAAATTATTGCCATCAAGCATCTCAAACTATACAACATATGATGGGTCTTATATCTCTAATCGGTTCTCTTTTTTACTCTATTCAAATAAAGGCCAACTTCAAGTATCTTTAGCTATACAACTAGGATACATCTTACATCCTTCATGGATTATAACTGACTTCTTTCATTGTAGGCCACGGTCATTGAATGAACATGCTTTGACTAAATAACTTAAAAAAGTCAAACATTCATAGTGATAATGTAAATGTTGATTGACATCAACTCAGAAGTTGGGTGACAACATCCTATAACACTCCAGAAGATGGGGCAACATCAGCTCAAAAGGAAAGATTAAATCAACCCCAGAAGTGATGTAAGAAATTTTTGAAACACCAAACAAGCTCAAGTCTGTACAGACAAATGTAATATCACAATATTAAGTAAAAGAAAGATGTACAGACAAACACACTATTACCAGACACATAATTTACATCATGAAACTAAAAAGCTACAATGACCAACACAAACTGGTTTAAAATTTACAACAAGACATCAGAAACAGAGCACTAATCTACTAAAACATCATCCTTAACATTAGAAAGATCATACAAGTCGCTTTCAGTTAAAATCCATTTTTGAGCTAGATGAGGGATCTTCAGATGTCGAGATAAAAGTCATGCCCTCAAGATCAGTTGCACTCCAATGCTACGGTCGATGAACCGTTTTTCGAAAACATCAAAAAAATTCTCTTCCTCCATCTTGGTTACATATCCCCATGTTCTCTTCTTCAATAACCAACATAAACACTTCAAAAGCATGCAAAGTCTTCGCATTTTCATTAATTATTTATTCACCTTCTTATGCTCACTCAAGAGGTGATCGACCTTTTAATGCTCAGTCTTTCATTCCCTAAAATAATGGGCCAACTCATCTTTGAAAAGTGTTGGCATCTCATCATCATGATTCTAGGATTTATGTTAATTTTTAGCGAGGCAAAATTCCATAAATATCAACATATCACAACGTATCAACATATCACAAAGTGAAGAATCCCCTCTTAAATGTGCGGTGGGAAGAATCTATTTTTCTTCACAAAGAATACCTTTTGGAATATGCTGTTGGGAAACTCTAATTTTTGTCCATGAAGAATTCCCTCCGGAATGCACAATAGGGATACTCTAATTTTTTCTCTACAAAATATTCCTTATGGAATGTGTGACAAAAGACTCCAATTTTTCTCTACAAAGAGTCGCTCCTGAAATGCGTGACAGGGAGACTTAATTTTTTCTCCATTAAGAATCCCATCTAAAATATGTGGTTGAAAAAGTCTAACTTTCTCCATAAGGAATTCTCTCAAGAATGCATGGCAGGCAGAGTCCATTTTTTCTCAATGAAGATGCTCTCCAGAATGTGTAGTTAGGAAACTCTATTTTTTCTCCACGAAGAATCTACTCGTAGTTCGTGGTGGGGAGACTCCAATTTTTTTCCATGAAAAATCCCCCAAAATGCATGGTAGGGAAAATATAATATTTCTCCACAAAGCATCCCTTTTGGAATGTGCAACTCGGAAACTCTAATTTTTCTCCATGAATAATCTCCTGGAATACATGGTTGGGAAACTATGAGATCCCCTTTATAATGCATGGTTGAGAGACCCCGATTCTTTCTCCCATTTTTGGCTTTATTATTGGGTTAAAAAGCTTAAAAATTAAAAAAAAAGAAACCTAAAAATTATCAAATTTCAGTTTGGCCAATGGATCCCCATGTGAACTCTCCGATTTCACATAATCAACAGTTCAGAA